TGGAAAATAAATAAAAACAATGCCCTGCACAATATATTTTCAGAAGAGTTGCTGATACAATCCAGTTCACAACATGGTCTGAGGGGAACGCACACCAGCGGGAGGAAATCTCTTAACCCGGTACTGCCAAAAACTTAGCTTTGTGAAACTACTCTCAGCATATACTGAGAGTACTCAAAGCTCCCAAACTGCAGCTCTCTTAATCCCAGTTCATATTTTAACCTGCACTCAATGAAGTGCAGTGACACGAGGTAAGATGACAATAGGAATCCAAGTGTGAAAAATTTATGAAGTCCTTGCAGTGTTTTTCAGAAATACGATTTTAAGTTTGATTAACATATCCTGAAGTATAATATTGTTTGATACAGCCTACACTAAAATTTAATCATTCTAAACGTAACATGGGCAAAGTTATCCCTCTGATACCAGAGTCTATCATAAAAAACTATTTTACTGCACATGAAGCTTCCTTCATGATAACTGGAAAGGTAGTGGGGGAGGGGAAAAACACCTCACACTGCTGCGTTGAAACACCCATTGCTCCATGCCAACACTGCTGCTTAGTGGCGTTACTTGTAATTAGAGCAGTTTTCTCCTGAATGGTAAAAAGCCTCACTACTTCCCAATCAAGACTGGATGGATAAATTTTGAACGCATATAGTCTAAAGAGAATGAGAATTTTATAACTATGCATCACCTTGTCGAATCATCCTTTGTTCTCCGATAAGGCCAAATTGCATACACAAAGCTGCTGAGTTTACCTCATTAAATAAGCTCGAGGACGCTCAAGCATCAGAGTTTTTAGTATGACTTCTATTCCTCATTTGGAAGGCAGAAGTCACAAGACTCTCAGCTAGTATGTGTCCTTCTACTGCTCCAAAAATGTCAGCTGCAGCAGTGGGGTTTTTTTAAAAGCTTTATACACGTTTAGATTAAATTAACTTTGGCCTCTATCTTCACCACTATCGCCATGACTGCTAGGATGTGCGATTTCAAGTGTAGAAGCGTGTTCAGTCACTACAAAATCCAGAGTTCCACATTTAAGAGAACTGCAAATACAGCTGTCCTTCATTAATTACCTCCTGCTCCCCAAGTCAATCAATATCCTACACCCTCAACTGTACTAGCTTACCACAAAAGTGAGTGCAGTAGGCCATGAGTGCAAGTGAGTGTAGTAGGTTGATCAGCAGGTCTAGACACAGTATATTTTGAGATATTTTGCTGTGTTCAAAAATGGCAGAGCAACACTAGGACACTCATTAATTCCACCATTTTTAGCAGTTCTGCCAATTCACGAGTTAAGAAATGCATGGTTTAGGACAGAAGTCAGCATTAGACGAAAGATGGGACTATTTTAGTTAGAATTCCCTATGCACATTTTAACTGTGCACTGCATGAGAAATGCATGCTAAGTTTAAATCCTAAGGAAGCATAACTAAAAAATTAAAAAAGTATTCAAAAGAGCAAATATTAATCTTCCAGACCTTGTTCCTAAGTTGTAGGAAATAATTTGATTTCTCTTTTCTCCCTTCACTAAAAAAGCTTGTTCTCTTCCCCCTCACTCCTCCCTAAAAAGCATTCCAGGGAACGATTTGCTGTGAGTTGATATCCTAATTCAAAAAACACCTAACAATAACTAAAGCTTATAGAAGTGAAAATACTGCTAAATATTTTTATAAACTACCATTGTATTCATTATTATCCTAACATACCTGATGCACTGCATCATCTTAAGTATCTTGCAATGAACAAAAAACCCCAACCACTCAGACCTCTATTGCACAGAAATCTGCCTAATTACAGAAGCAATGCATTAGCATGAATAAATTTTCCAGATATGGTATCTTTCTTGAAGTAGCTTATTCTGCTGCGGTTACAGGTAAGTTCCATTAATTTTCACCATATGGATTAAAAAATCCTACACAGGAACTGAAAGGAACTATTGTTGACCTGAAGTGTTTGGAAAGATAACTGCAATGGCCTATAAATAATTCTGATGTAGAGTATATTACAATTGAGACCAATAGAAATAATAGCTAGCTTCTAATATCAAAAAAATAGCTACTGATCATTAGTAAATAATTTTAAATATATTTGAATAAAAATAAAAAATAAAATCCATTACTATTAATAATGTCTCATTTTAGTGCACTATTTTTCTTTCACCTGAAATCTGATCTTTACAGCTCAAGAATGCATTCCTTTAGTGTCTTCATATGCTTGACCTTAGCTGTACTTACCTTTCCACGACAACGATAAAATAAAAATAGACATAATATATCAAAAAATGAGCAAGGAAAAGAAAAAGAAACAAGACCACCATTAGAAAAATTATGGCTTTAGTATGAGTGATAACGCTCATAGAATAGTTGTATTGCAGGCCATAATAGCACCCTTAGCAACGCATAACACCTTCTGTAAAGCTTTACGGGTACCAGACAGCTATTCGCCCAACTAAGTACGTACCCTGGTTTAAGGAACTGAAAACACCACGCATATGAAAGAACTATTGCTTGTTTGATCTTCCATAGGGTTTTTTAAGGGAAGTGCCACTCGCATCAGGTATAGCTAAATTGAAATCACAATATCACACATTACCAGCAGTACAAGCTAAAAATACACTTCCCTCACTGCAGAGGGTCTACATCTGTATGAAAGGATTTTCTCCTTCCTAGAACTGATTTTAAGAAAAGCAAGTGTTCCATAGCAGGCAAGTTTAAATGGAAATAAAACTTTTAAAAAATTTCCAAAGCATATTTCTTCTCCACAGTGTTTACTCTTAGACCAGAAACTGAACTGGGCCTGACACAGGATAGGACAACTGAAGCAGGAGAGAAACACATAAAGTAACTCTGAGTATAACTATAAGAAAATAGGATACGCTTAAGGAAATAGGACATGCTTAGTAGTTATGGCCTTGAACTTGAACACGCTTCTGACGATGCAAAACAGTTCAGAGCTTGGCATAAAACTGACCAAATATAACAAAAGTCACTAACAGCCATCTCATGTTTAGATCAATCAAGTTTGTTTGTACCTACAATACAATTTAAGTATCAGATCTTAAAACTCAAAACTACATTATGAAGCATATATTCTAAGGGCATAATTTCCTTAGTAATTATGACTGAAAGCACCAAAAGTCCACAACACATCAACATATACAGAAACTCAAAATGTACCAGATCCCCCAAACAACTCTTCATTAGGAAAAAGTGGATGTGAGAAAACACCTTCATAAATGATTGTAGAAAGAGGAAAAAAAAAATCAACCCCCTGTTGCTTTCCAGCTAAATAAATAAATAAATATTTAAAAAAAAAAACCACACCACAAGCACAACCTTGGCTTCAGTTTGATCAAACAGACCCCCTGTTTGGTCCTGAAAAGAGAAAGCAAAGGCTTTAATTGCAAGGACTGAATCACACTAATTTAAAATATAGCATGCATGTTTCTGGAAATAGAACAACTCTTGAGTTTTCTGTCTTGCAGTACCAAATAGAGATGACATTAAATTGCACATTAGTTGAGCAGAAATGCCTTTTTCTAACCCTCATTGTGTCTTTCATCTCTTCCATACGAAGAGGGAGGGTAAACTTCAAAAAAGGTAATCTTTCAAAATATTTGATCATTAGTGGTTTAAAGCCGCATGATTTGAGAAACTATATACTTTTTTCCCTATATTGCTATTTTGTATAAAGATCTCCACAAGATGGTGCTGTAGCTCTATTTTTGAAGATATTACCACCTATTCTCTAGTGATTTGGTCTCTTCTGCATTTCATTGTTAGGATAATAGATGAAGTCATTGCAAGGTTTATTTTCAGTCAAGGTGCAAAACAAGTTCACATCAGTCAACATTAACTTTTTTGTTTGTTTGTTTTTGTTTTTTGGAAACATGTCTAGTGGAAAGAAGTTCTACTACAGAAGTCCAAAACCTTTAACTAAGTTTATATAACAATAATGGATCACCATATGTTCTTCTGTTTGTATGTAAAAACAAGACAATTTATATTCCATATGGTTAAAGAAAAAAATCATGATTATTGTTAAATCATATAAATCAATTTTACCAGCATAATGTCAAACAGCTGCTTTCACCTTCATTTGCAAACTCTGCCAAAAAAGATACACTGATATTGCATTATCAAACTACAAAATCTTGTCATGTAAAGTGAGTTATCGTAGCACAAAAAAATCCCGTTATGATATGATTTAATACTAAATAAGTCAGAAAGGGTTAAAAAAGATCTCTTGTTCTTATCAAGCCCCTCACATACCTTTGATTTGATTATGATGTTTATGGAAGCCTTAAGTCTACTTCTGTCTCTAAAGAGAAATTTTAGACAGTTTCAAATCATAAAAATGTTGTGTATCTTTGTATACTGGATGGTCTCCATCTGTGCTGCTGGTCTTAAAACGTGTTGGGTAAGAGTACTAAAACACTCAACACATCTCTTGCAGTCAAAGTCTGCGAGCTTACTTACACATTTTAGTGTTTAGGCTCAAACTGACCCCCACTTCGTCAGTGTTAATGGAGGCCATAATGTGTTGGTACTCTCCAACCAGGCATGAAAATTTACATTAAAAACCCAAAAAATTCAAAAAAACAAAACCCCCAAAAGATACATATTTACAAATTGCATATTTAAGTTTTCATTAAGACTTATTCAACAATACAGATGGTAAGATGGTATGTAAGAAAGCCTCTTGGGTGCAATATGCTAGTCCCAGCTGGAGTGTTTCCAACAGGATGTAAACCATGGTCCTCAAGCCTGCACTTTAAAAAACGTATTACTTAACACACTGCTAACAAATGTCAACACAAAAATACATTGCTGTAATGAGTTCACTTTACTAAAAGGTGTGGGGAAGCTATCTGAACAGTTCTTGTTTTTTGGTTTTTTTAATTAAAGCAAAAACCTGAAAGGGAGAAGGGGAAAAAAAACCCAATACACAGATGCATTAAAAAAATTTATTCTAAAAGAATAAAAGCACTGGTGATCATTATAGGAATTATATATTAAAATTTTAATGCTATACAAACATATATTAATTATGATATCCATAAGACTACAAAGTACAGGTCCTGCAGACCTGTTCTTTTAGGTCTTCTCAGAGGTGCTGCTTGAGGCTTTCAGCAATTCTGAGGTTTCTTCAATCCTACAAATAAACCGTTTATACACACACACATTAAAGTACAGTAAAGGGCAAGTCAATTACTTCTTTCCTTCTAATGATTCTAAAATAAAAAACAAGCAGCATTAAACTAAGTTTCCTCCCATTCTCCCTTTTCCCCTGCAGTTGGTAGGCATGGTAAATATCTACCAATTATCAATAGACACTAAACACATGTATATAAAAAAAATCAGAACAATAAAATCTGAGGTTAAATCATACAAAAAACGCTACAGCTTTGAGGCTAGACATGTGTACAACACAAGCCTCTTGTTAAGAAACTATTACATAGCAATTCAATTCTCCTCACCAAGCGTATTAAAAGTATTTCTTGCAAAAAATATGCATTACAAATTTCAGGACTAGTATCAAATGTACCTTAATATAGCTAATCAGTGCTTGACCTGAAATTGCTCTTAACTCTGTTTTTTTTTTTTTCTTAAAAAAGTTGTAGGGTTTTTTTAAACAGAAAAAAAATGTCTAGTTCTAGGAAATTCTTATCAAAAGATATATAATATTCCCATTACTTGTCAACCAGATTCTAAACACCCTTTAATCTGAAGTTAATACCATTAAAAATGCTTTCCATTGCTTGTTAGAAACCATAACAGTGACTCATCCCACAAATACAGAACCATAAGTAGATTTATTATCCATTGGAGTCATAAGGAAATGCCACACCTGATGTAGAGACCTTTGAGGTTTGGAACACATATGTACATTCTCTATATGCCTTAGTCCAGTACAATTCCCTCCTGGGAAACGAATTCCTGCTTTTTTTTTCTTTTTACTTATCCTTTCCATTCTTTGTCTTGTTGTCTCCTGCAATTTAAAAGCAACAAATTTAGTGAACTCTTCAAAGCTAGAATTCTTCAGATACATTTTCTCTATGGTTGAAAGTCTGACTTAAAGCACTGTTTACATATCAAAAGGATTTTTATGAGACAGACCTAGATGTAGTTTTGCATAGTTCCCTTGTTTTTCACTAGTAGTATATACAACTAAAACTAATGCTTGTTCTTTTGACCTTAGAAAGGAAATCAACTAAGCATTTGCCAGTTTTACTTACCTTTGAAAAGTTTGTCAGATCATGATAATTAATGGTCATGGCTTTGGGAGATGGGTCTGTGGATAATAGTGAACTGTATCCAGACGACTGATGAAGACTCTCTGGCATCTCCTCCTTCCCCTCTGCATCTACGGAAAAATACTCATTTTTATGTCACCTTTGCCTTTTTGCTCTCTTATTGCAAGGTCAGCTATCAAATAGTTTGATTTACAGTATGTAATAACAGAACAGAATGCATTGTTTAGAGAGGGAGAAAAAAGCTACTGGTGAGGGTCCAGAACAGGTTTCTCATTCCTTAAAATAAAAGTGGACTGTACCAAGTATAATACACACAAGACTAACTTCAAAAATTATCTAGGAATACTACCTTTATCCTGATTACAGTCAAATTAACACTTCAGCAAATTTAATGAGTCAAATATTTCATAGTAATTTCTGATAGTTTTCATTATTTGTACTGCAAACTGCCTATTCAAACATGTTTTTAAATTTGTGCTAAATAACCAGTCTCAAACAGCAAAAATATAAACAAAATCATCAGTTTCTTGCTTAACTTGAAATTTGTTTGAAGGTGCTGCAGTGTTCTTAGCTCTGCTCCCACTGTGATAGGTTAGGCATGCATTCAGCAGAAACAGACCTATCTTCTATGTTTGGAAGACTCTGGTATGTTGTTTCTTTTTAAAAATCACAAGTACTCAAAAAAGAGAAATATACCATTGTCAGAGGATAGAAACAATATAGTATTTAGAACAAGGACAATGTGTTCATGTGTCTATTTTTAATAAGGCTACCATCTATGGATCGCACCTTTGAAATGTACTTGGCAGCACTGCTTTGCATTTAAACTCATACTAAATTATTTTGAAAGTGTATCTTCAGTACAGCTGTGATTCTTGAAGAGAATGATTACAACTAGGAACATCACCAAAAGGTTCCGAGTAATGTACAACCTCGGATATAAAAGTTAAGATGGTCTGTATAACATGTGCTTACAATTTCCTGGATATGCTTCAAAAAAAAAAAAAAAAAAAACGAACAACATGCTGAAAAATCCTAAAAGTCTAAAAATATGAAAGTTCTCTTGTAAAGACCATCAACCTGCTTGCTGTCTATGAAGTCCTCAAGTGTCAGTAATACGCCATTAAACATACAAAAGGAAGTAAACACGTTGCAAGCTAAAGGTCTGTAAAAAGAAAGTTACATTTTTAAGACTTCAGAATTAAAACAAACTTTGACATAAACAAAAAACTGCCTTTGTAATTTTGATGGACACTGGACTCCTGAGCTTTAAGGAAATGAGTTCTTCATTTCTCTTCCAGTTTCAGTGTGACAACCCAACACTGGAGGAAAGGGCCTCTTAAATAAGAACAGGAAACAATATTCTTACTTCTGGTGGTAGGACTAATAGCTGCCATAAGGGAGACGGGCCAAATTTATAAAGAAGATGATGCAATCTTAAGGCAAGGAACTACTGCCGAAGAAAAGAACAGAACAGAATTCTTCAGAGCATGGGGGGGAGGGATTAATTTCTTTCCCACTTAAGGCTGTTTCACTTAATCCTTGTACCTTATCAAAATTCAAATTGAGACGGAAGAAACTGATTTTGTCTTGTTCTTCAAAAAAGAAAACATAGGAGAAAAAGTTTAGCTGGATAGCTGCTAGCTACATCAAAAGAGAGGAAACTTCAAATTGTTGCTGACTATTCTGCATAATAAGTACAAATTTGTCTCAAGCCCCATGATAAAAGTAACGAATCTAAACATATCACTGTTGTAGCTATAATGAACCTGCAGCAGCAAGTATAACTCCCTCTGTTCCTCTTGATGCTTAAAAATAATTTGTAATATATGATGACTCCTTTGAACTGCAGCTAACAGCATTTATGTTTCAGCCTCAGACACATCATATTAACACAAAATCTAAGATGCACATTTAATTATTTGTAATGTTGAGTTAGTATGCTATATTTGCATTAATCTCCTAAAAATAATTATTTCAGTAAAGAAAGCTTCTAAAGAATAGATTATAAACACAAAACAACTAGCAGGTTCAGTTCTTATCTGAAGCATGCATCTGATTTAGTAAGTCACTAAACTGAAATTGACTGTCTACTTAAAAATACTATTTTAGTCAAGGCCTGCAAGAATTGTTTAGCCTAGGCCTTTAATTAAAAGGAAAACTGTAAATACTCACCAGGAGAAACTGGAATCCTGCTAGAAGTACATTCTTGACTTACATTGTTGAAGTCCGTAGATAAGTCATTCTACAATATAGTTTACATTTCAGTCATATATCCTGCTTAAAATGTCTTTTAACTAAAAAGTACATTTAAATAGTAAATACATATGCCATACCAATCCAAATGTATTAGCGCTACACAACTATTTTCATAGGACTGCTCTTCAGCTTAAAAGAGCCAAAATCTCACACTGTTATAGTCCATTAAAAAAAAATACTGGTCTATTTCCTGATTTTTTTGTTAATATTAATATCACTGTTAAAAAACAGGCCAAAAGCTTCAAAGAGTAGTGCATATAACTCGGGTACAATTCAAATAATCAGATTGTTCTTGGCCTATCTCAACAGTTACATCTTGAGGTTTGCTGCTGTTAGCTTAACAAAACAAACATAACTTCCACTTTCACTTGTGATTCAGAAATGCAGCTTCTCAGCCCTGAAAATATTGGGCTATAGATCTGAACTGAAATCCATCCCACTTAAACATTTAGAACTCTGAAGTCCAGTTTAAGCTAGTTTTCCAGGCTCCCAAATGAGAGAAGGCTCCTTCAAGAACAGTGTTTAATGCCATCTAACTCATGGTTGTTTGTAGGTAAGGAAACAACATTAAAGTTGTATTAACGCTAAGTGTTTGCGTTACATCTTTCTAATTTCAAAAAAAAATCCAAAAAGCTTGTAAGTAACATCTAGACTTTCTTCACCAATAAGTTATCATTTAAGATTTGAAATCTTAGCCATTGGTAGCTTATCACTTTTAAACCTAGAATAACTATTGTCAGTTAACAGATGAACATTATACCCAAAAAAATGAACAATGGAGAAATAGCGCATACTACAAGGGAAGACGTTGAAAAAACAGAAATACGTATCCCTTAAAAAGAGAAAGAAAAAAAAGGGGAGGAGGGGGAAGATATCTGTGCTGACTTCTTCCCATTCCCTTTCACTGAAGCAGATTTAGTAGCTTTCAGACTTTCCTAGAGATACACGCACAGCTGCTGCTACTTTGGCAGCAGTGCAAGACAGATCTTAGGGTGTTCCTGCTATGTTGACTAAATGCCAAAAGATTCCTGAAAAAAAATGCTAGGGTAAGAAAAGAGTAATTCTCCATTGCTCCTATATCTGTGAAGCACAACTTGGATGGAATTTCATGAAACAAAGAAACAGCAAGTCTCTGGCCCAAAGGATTTTTTCTTGGCAGTTTCCAAACAAGTTAGAGGTTTGAAGACTTAAAAACACACACCACACACACCATAAAAGCCAGCTTCTTTTGCTTTGAAGCAACAAAGCCACACACAAACTAAATCTAAACTTGTTTCTGCAGACTTCCTCTTACAGCACGCAGAACAGAAGAAAAAATGATCTTATTGGATATTTTTGAGTGATATTAACGTTAAAGTACTTTAATAGCAACTATTTCAGACTATTTCAAAGCTCTGAACTTCACTATATGTTATAAGTTTCTGTAAACTCAATTTATTATTAATAAAGGAACAACAGAACAAGGCTAGTCTGAAACACAAGCTTCCCCATGCTGCTACTGTCATGAATGCTGCAGCCACCTTTTAGAAAGAATACACTTGAAAGAAGAACAAATCTCTGTGGCTGTTCAGCTAAAAAGCCTCTTGAGACAGCTAGCAAAAGAAAATGCCTTAACAATAGCTGTGCTTTTTGGACATATGTCCACTGATAATTAAGTTTCAGTGTTTATCCACCAGAAACTGACTTCATATGGTAATTCACTTGACCCATTACTGAACCTGAAACTGGGTAAAACAAAACAAAAAACCCAAAAACATGCAAATGAGAACACCACTAGTTATCCTTTTACAGTCTTTCAAAATAAAGTTGATCAGTCTGACTACTTTCTATTTCAGCATTTTGCCTAACAAGCACACTTTCAAGGAACACACACACAAAAAAAAAAAAAAAAACAAACAAACAAAAATTCACAACATATCTTGCATACAAGTATTGGTGACATTTTCAAGTCTGCAGGGCCAGCAGTGGTTACAAGATCAGCTCCTGGTTACAAGTATATTAAACATTTTGACAACTACGGAGAAAAATGCAACTCTGAGTACTCTTCACATAGGTTTTCAACTTCTGGAGAGCTTTTCACAGTATCTGAAGGATACGTGAAATATGTAAGTAAAAACGTTTTGAAATTAAGCATACGTTCACAAATACGATACTACAGTTCACCACATCTCAAAATATTTACTTACACATACATATAAAATTATATAATGTACATGTGTGCACATACAAGGACCTCCCAAAAGCATTAAAAATAATATACAGTTTTAATGCAGTACAGTAATTGAATCGCTCTGACAAGCATGCCAAATGTAGCAACATCACAACTGTAGCACTTTTGTGCATTTAGAAAGGCACAAAAAGTGGGGAAGAAAGGGGGAAAGGAAGTGTCAGTCAAGCTTGGCCAACACTTCTGTCATTTGGTAATGGCTGTACAGCGCTATAAAAACAGTCAACATTACAATCATATCTGCCTTTTTATGATAGGAGAAAAAACAGAAGAAGTTGACATACCTTTTTGGATTGCAACAGCAGCTCTGTTTCAAGGAGCAAAACTCGACTCAACAAATTATTCCAATCCTTCTCATCGATAATCACCTTTCCTTTCAGTCTGTCTTCTAAAACACGTAGCTTATCTTCCATCCAATCTAGCTTATGCAGTTTTTCCTGGCAATCAGCAAGCTCACTCTTTAGGAACTCAATCTGAGAATTATCTTCTAAGACCTGGAAATATGGATAAGAATAGATGGCCTCCAATTTAGACATAGATGTAAGTATAGCTCATCATTTTATCCGAGATTAAAATGATTTTTCCTCACTTCAGCCACTGCACACTGCAACATTAAAGAATGCTCTTTCTTTCATGAACAACCAGTTTACAGGAATTTGGAAATTTAGCTTTTACATATTAAAAATGGATTCAAAAAAGCTGATTTCAGTAAGATTCAGGCATTTGAAGGTGCTTTATTGAAAGAATAATGATTTAGATGTCATAAGCTACCATAAGAATTTTCATTTTTACCCATTTTTAAATGTTATTTTACATAAGCACTAGTAGAGGCTAATTTCCAATGAATTTGTGCGTCACGACCTCATCCTCAGCTGGCATCAGAAACCGCACGCAGAGGAAAGCTCTGCCAGAAAAAGGATTCTCTGGTGTCCAAGAAAACAGGAGATCTGACTGAAAAGACATTTTTATGGGTAAAGCATTCATGATGTTTCGCTTCTTTATTGTCTAAAAGAGGTTCCATTCATACTACATTTTTTCTCTCAAAGAATGAGAGTAGATGCAAGACATCCCTTTCACAAAAATCCATGAAAATATATCAGAAAATTAATCTTCCACTGTCATAATTAAGATAAAATGGACCAATGAATTCAAAAAACTAAGTCAAGACAGACAGGTCTTTCCATTGTTAAAGAAACAGATTAAAAAAGACAAACGTGAAACAGTAAAGCTTAAGAGCTGTGTTGCCAGAACTGGCTCTTGAAAGGTTAGAACAATTCTACTATGATTTTTTCCTACCCATTTATTATATAAGTTATATTCAAGGTGCATGGAACTAGCTTTTAAAAACTTCTATACCTTTAGAAAAGCCCTATAAGAAAAGTTAACAACGTGTGTGGACATAATCTTAAAATTAAGATTCTTACTTGTTCACATTTGTCTTCCAGAACATCATGATTTAAGTGTAATTCTTCATTATCTTCCTCTGCGGGAAGGGCTGGAGGAGGAAGGTTGTCACTCTCTTCACATTCTGGATGTCGTTCTACTTGAGGCTTCTTTTGAGCGTGTTTTTTTTAAAAACAAACAAAAAAACCCCAAAAACACACCCACCCACTGGTGTTATTCATTACACAAACACTTCTGAACTTCATCTGACAGTTAACTGGCACAAAAGGCCTATTATTTTAGCATTTAACTTAAAAAAAAAAAAAAAAACCTAACAATCACCACTGTTTGCAAAACACAGCAATCAAAAACAAGCAGTTTAATTAAAAAGAAAAAACCCTACAGGTATGAAAGAATTGTAAAAGATCTATGCACACACTTTACTATATTGAAGTATACCTTGGTTGTCATAGAAAGCGTTGAAAACATTAATGTCTTTTTTTTTTTTTTTTTTTTACTGTCAGGGTTGCTAGATTTCAAAATGTGGGTAGGGAGATGTGAATCTCATTAATCTTATATCAACACATGTAGAGACAGGTCCAATATTAAAAGTACCATATAAGTATTCAAAAAAAAATTGAAGTTTTATGAGAAAGATTACAATTCTTTTCCTTGACTGCTATTGGCAGAATAGCCCTACTAGCTATGCATCTCACTTCACTGGAAGACTCTCCTTAGAAAGAGCAAAATAAAAGGCAAATTTTTCCTTTTCTTTCAGGTAAAGCAAGTCCTGTGATCTCTCTCCCTCTCTCCCTGAATAGAAGAAATTACTTAATGATTGAGAATCTGCAGCTACTACTTTTGCACAGTGTTTTAACACTTAACACTTACTGCATGCATTAGTGAAACTGAAACTCTTTAATGGAATTTTAAAGGCACTCTCATATACCTCCATTCAATTCTACTATTCAATAACAAGGAAGTGCCAAATAAGTCATTCCAAATGTTTTATTTGTGAAGTTTTCCTCACAGCTAGGAACAATATTTTCATACTAAACAGAGATCACAGTCACAGATCTAAAGAAGTTTTGCAGGATTTTGCTTCCAGAGAATCACAGAATGGCTGAGGTTGGAAGGGACCCCTGGAGATCATCTAGTCCACCCCCCCTTGCTCAAACAGGATCAGCTAGAGCACACTGCACAGGATCGCGTCCAGGCAGGCTTTAAATATCTCCAGAGAAGGAGACTCTGCAACCTTTCTGACTTTGCACCCTCTTAGCAGAAAAAGACAAAAGCTGCCTCCTCCAAGGAGGAGAGTAACATCACTGCCAAGCAAGCGTTAAATTGAAGCCAGAAACGCTTCATTGGGAAGTCTTTGCTAAACAGACTTGGACATAAGAGCAAAAAGCATTTTTGAAATCTCCTTTGAAAGTAATGTAGCATCACACCAAACACAGTTCCAGCTCCACACAGGGCATGTATTCTGTCTTTTTCCAATTGCATCTTCATTTTGATCGCTACCTCTCCTTTTTGGTATAATTCAACCAACAGGTAACAGTACTGGATCATTACCACCATAACTTTGAGAATTGCTCAGTAAAAGAGAGAAGTGATGTTCTCTAATAACTTACTTTATTTTTTCCAAAACATGCACGGGCTGATTAAACTTGTGTGCTCAAACATAAAAATCCAAATAAAAGCACAAATTTCTGAAAGATCCTGACTTGCTGCAACTCAGATGAGCACATAAAGTAGACAATTTAGATGTACAAAGTAACAAATTCTATTTTCATACCTGTCTGGAATTCATAGCACTGCCAGCAGGATCTGCATGGACTTTTTCACAGTGTGACCACAGCTCATATTTAAAAGATCCAAGTTTCTTTCTTGTTTGGGATTTGGCCTTCAAAGTGAGGAGAGGAGGGGGAAAAAAAAAAAAAGGTTCTAATACAGGAAATGCTGTGTTTGCATTTGTGCCATGCACGTATTAGAACTCTGTAATACAACACTGTGTAAAAAATGGAAGGTAAGCATGATCCAAATTAACAGAGAAAACTGATCTGGAAATTAATGCTGTACACATACACTCATAATGCCTACACAAGGCTGCATCACAGCTGGTCATAAACACAAAGATAACTTGCACCAAAGCTGAAAGACAAACAAACAGGAAAGAAGGATGTAGTTATGTTACAAAAAGTGACAAAGAATATAGAAATTCTGAAGACTGTTATAAACCCAAATTAATCACAAAATCCTGTAAAATATAAAGCTTTAAACACAGCACACACTGACATATAGTAATACCTTAACAATGTATACCAAATGTGATTAATAATCAGATTCAAAATGTATACTGCTGAAACATAAATATAAGCATTGTATTTATATTAAACACTACCAGAACTTTCACATATCAGAGTGGTTTGTTTTTAAGTCTACCTTAAAAATCTACTGAATTAAATATTTACTATGCTTAGAAACGTAAAAGAAAACTTACCACTTACTGCAAAGATTTATCTTTTTCTCTAATAATTTTCATTTGTTGGTACTACAACGCATTGGCAGCTTCATGTTTTCTGTATACGTGATACTACTCGAGGATCTTATAATGGTACTTCATACTAAATTCTCCCTCTATTTACATTACCAATGATACTTCATCTTCAAATAAACTGGTCTTCACCTTCTAACTGGAGCAGCATCAAGCATATGTCACAAGAAACATGTCTCAAAACAAAGATATCTGATCAGTACCTTATTCAAGTTACTTAACTCCTTATGCTTTTTCGTCACGCTGCTGATAATGTCACAAACAATCTGCATTTTCCGTTCTGCAAAGCCAAACTGAAGAAACTGCTGTTTTGTTAAAATTGGTTTATATTGAAATAGGTCTCGGAGAAGCTGCAATAAAGTAAAAGTTTACTTTGTTTTCAAAACGTAGTTTCTTGCAGAAATAGCATACTCTTGTTCTTATTTCCCTTACAATCTTTTCTTTCATTCTACACTTTAGCAGTTAATCTTCTACTTATTTGGTTATTTACATATTCTAGGTGGTTCTTCCAGCTAGACCTTCCAATATACCCCTTCTAGAAACACTTCATTCACATCACGCTTTCAGTTTATAACTCATATCATCTTAAGAGGTATTAAACAAGTGACTGTAGACGTTAATTAAAAAAAAATAAAAATCAAAGTTTCCAAACTGAGTGTACAATAAAAGGCTGTATTAACTTCAGCAAGTCAAAGGGCTAGTAAGACTTCCACCCCGAGTTTCTTTGCAAAGCCATCTCCAGCTTCTTCAGATAAATAACGTTAGCTTATTTAGACTAATTTTCCAACGTATCCAGCCTCCTTTTAACATAGATATAAAGTGTGCTTACAGATATTTTTAAGGATAGCATGAAATTACTTCCATTCAATTCAGAAAATAATTTGATGCTACTTATACGCTATTAAGAACTGGACTTTACATACTGGTTAATTTGGCATGGCATTTTAAAGTAACTGCCATTTTAAACTGTTATCACAATTATTGAAGTTTGTTAGGATTTTTTGCTGGTCATAAATTTTCTCCAAGGTCACTTCCAGCTATATAACCTATTACGCAATAAATATTTTGATTTTCTTTGCATTTAATATAAAACAATTTTACTGAAACTACCAAAACTGAGATGCAGCTAGTAATATCCTCCCTTATTTTCATGAAAATATAAATCAAGACTTACCACAGTTAGTTATAGCTCACCTTAAATTCTAACAGAACTGCAAATGATTTTTGTTGCCAAAAATTTTACTTTCCAATAAAACTCATATTAGATATTTAACTGTTATGAGGCCATACTCAAAATTGCCTCTATCAGGCAAAGAATACAAAGTCAGATATACCTTATAAATAGCTTCAATGAAACGCAAGTCACTCTTTGCTGTGAGTTCTACATCACACTTCACCAAAAGTTCTGCTATGTAAGTTGAGAAAGATGTAAAAGAATAGCTGATGATGGGTAAAAATACAGCTGGATCACCCTTTATTAACCTATTGAGAAATAAAAGTATTTTACGTAACAGAAAAAGACAAAAGCCTTTAATATAAGTAAGTCACTTCAAACATCTAACTCCGGAGGTCTATTAATATAGCCAGCATAACACTAAACTTCAATTAACCTTGAACTTCAATTTAAGATTTTTCTAGCTATCTTGATCAACGGAATTTTCCAGGCATATCTCATTCAGTAGTTCTTACTTTTATCTGTAAACATCCTGAAACAACGTTTTTTGCAACCCTCCAATTGTTCTAACACTGTCAAGTCTAAAGCCCAACAGCCTTTTCCACGTAAAAAACTAATTTTTGACCTTTAAGGGATGAAATTTATTCAACAAAAGTTTTTTCCCCCAGAACTTACATAAAATCAGAGAAAAAAGAGAGAATAAGCAAAGAAAAGGGAAGAGAAAACATAACGCAGTGGAAGAAAGAAGAGCAAGAGCATGTTAGTCTTTACAATTGTTCTAAGGTTTGCTCAAAACAAGCAAACAGAGCGTTCCTTTATCCTCCAGTTCACAGGCACCAAACCAAAGAGTAAGTAAGAGTGACACAAAGAGTAAGTTCTTCTAGCTGTCAGTTTGCATGACAAGCACATATTTCCTTACCGACCTCAAGAGGAAAACTTATTTTCACATTTTATCAGGCCACCTGTGCATGGCTGCAGCACTGATGAGAAACACTGATCCACAAGAGCAAAATGATATTTTTAAACTCTCAGTAAAGAGCAGTTACTTAACTAAGAGTAGCTGCTTCTTTAAAATGCTTCATCCACATAGATATGCATGTAAAATGCACCAAGTAATAAGACGGAATTCTTTCGCCTAGTGTCAAATACAAGAATTCTTGAATCCTAGAAATGTGACGTTTCCCCTTCGCCTATACTTTTCCATATTACTTGGAAGCATATGGTGTTTTCAACTTCTAGATATCCCCAAATTCCTTTATTCATACATAATCCTTGCAGATCAGGATACTACAGTAGTAGAGAAGAGAGGGCTACTGATATCCATACAGACGATACACTTCAAGGAACCAGGTACTACAAAGCAATGGTGCACAACTACGGAATACATCCCCTCCCTTTCCATGCATTTGGAGGGTCTGAACCATCCAGACCTCACATTAGACTATGTCTTAAGTTCTGGTGATTTCTTTTATGTAAATTATATTGATATTGTTTTCTAGCCAATATGGAAAAGACATCAGTTATCAGTAAATTAGCAGTTGCTTTATAGAAGCAGATTCCTTAAGATGTATTATCTGCTTGTACTTCCTCACACAAGGAGTTGCATCTTATTGAACCTAATGATAAGAAAAGTGTGCTTGGGGTATTTTTGGCTTTTTGGTATATACCTGAGAGTAGGAAGACTTCAAGGAAGATACAACTCCAACAGTGGTGACCACAAACAGCTTACACTCATGTACCCCATATCATTAGAAGTTACTTTCATAACCTTTCTGTGAAAATTAATCATATAAACCTTTTTTAACAATGACCTCACATCCCAATATATCTGCCATACTTACACTAGTAATTCCTCTCATTCTGTAAGGAAATTAAACTTCAGAGTTTAAACAGCACTTGATTATCAGCCATTTACATACATGGAACAGGTTAATGTTCTTGATACTTTCATAGAAACAGTTCTATTTGTATAAAACAGTATCACTCTCCTCTTGGAATTGTACTTAATTTGTAGCTAACTGTAGCTAAGTTTTGTATAAGTTTTGCTCTAATGTCAGTTAGGAAAGAAAAAAAATTCTCCAGTTGATCGACTGTTTAAATTGTGAAGCACTTAAGTATGCTTTCTCTCATGATTATAAAGTTAAGTGTTAATTCTCCTACTCCTTAAATTGCATAAAAAAATTTTTGCATATCGCTCAAAAATATTCCATTTGTGAATCAAATGAGGGAAATGTGGAAACTTATTTGTTTCTGAATTTTAACATATCAATAGTAAGTATTACAAAACCTTCCATTTCTCACAACTGAAATTTAAGTGTTACAAAATTGTATTGCTTATGCTTGTAGTTTACATGGTTAATGAAAGAACTTATTAATAATGAAAACTAAACATTCCTTCCAGATCCAAGTTAATCAAGTAACTAAAAGAAAAAAGTAACATTTAGGGGAAAAAAAAAAGCTTCAAACATTCGTTGGAAACAAGGATTTGAGTTTACAATGACCTGTACTTCTGATTCAGGAAAATAAGAAAAGCCATTAAGGACTACATTAATGATGAATTTAAACATGACATAGTATATCCAAAAGATAAGTTGAACTGATCATTCATCTAGAACGATCAATTTCGATGAAATTATTTATCTCACTGGATCTAACTATTAATATCTACACTAACTTCTTTCAGTGTCATGAATGAGATAAGATCATTCTAAAAACAGTCATGGTTTTAAAATATTACTTAATCTAATTCCAGGAAATTAGTCATTTTTACTCCTTAAAGCATTAGTATTCAATCAGTTTTGTTAACACAGAAATAGTAGACAACTTTTAGGAACTATATGTTTTATCCAGTTATGTTCTTCCTATGGCTTCCATTAGAAAACAAACATACAAATATAATATTTTTCATATTAAAGATGTATTTTTTTTTTTTTACAGAGATAAAGATAATGTAAAGATCCTTACAAGATATGTTTACATATCTTGCTGTCATCATATATCATCATAAGTTTATTCATGCTGCTTCTTACCCAGTATAATCCACATCTCTTGGATAATTCAACAAGCGAAGTCCTTGCTCTATTTTTCTTAAACTTCCTTTTAGGTCTCCTGTTGTCATTATTTCAAATGGTACTCTTCTTTTAGACTATGAGATAAATGTAGTACAGTACATTCTCCTCCTTAAAAATAAACAAAAATTATGTACACATGAAAATTTAAAAATACAACATAATCATCAACAAAATTGTCAGGTTTTTTGCTCCTTTTTTTCTGGACATGACTATTTCCCAAAGTGTTACAACACAGCACAGACTAGTGCTTAGTACTAATTAATACCAGACATCTTCCTCATTCAATCTATTTCAGCACCAAGCACTAATCGTCAACCCCACCAACAGAGATCTTTAAAGGTAAGGTATATGAATTTATGAATTTAGGGCTGACTGAAACCCATCAAGTAGTAGCAAAAACAAGTTACTTTGCTGTTTCAAAGTAGTGACAATCTTTTGCATTCTTTGGTCTAGAAAGTTTCCTACTCTTTTCTTCAGATCTTTCAAGGTCAAGACCTTAAAAACACATATAAAATCATCATCATCAGAAAGTCTGTCCGTATCAACCTGAGCGATTCTGCAACCTTCTAAGATACTGTAATCTTCCTATGGTTTTGGCAGCTTTCCCCTGGCAAATTTGAAATAGTTAAGGAAATTACCTTAGATAATTTGGCCTCAAGTTTACTGGCCAAAGGAGCAATCTTTTAATAGGTAAATATCAGAAGACATGCCTAGTAATTCATCACAGATAGCAGCTCTCTGTCTAGATGCTCCATTAAATAAGTTGAAAATCATGGTGGCAGTAGGTCGGGAGGAGAAGATGCAACAAATTGCCTGGACATTTCAAGACAGGCATAAATTTACTGCCAAGTCCACCTCTAACTTCTCCATTGTATCACATAAGTCATAAACTGCTTTTAATTTACTATAAGCTTTGCTTCACGGGAGAAACAGACTTATTTAATCACTCAACACAAAGGTGCATTTTTCTCTGCAGAACTGTCCTGCAAGGAAGTTAAAGACTGCAGCAAAGAAAGAAAAATACAACATGAGAGGAGCAGCAAAGCACAAGATCATCATTCACATAAGTCTTTAGGTTTTTTTTTTTTTTTTCAAAAGGGGTTCGGAAGTACAGGAAATTCATACTTTTAATGACAATTTTGTCAAACAGAACTAATTAGTAAATTCTCAAGGGGAGGGGAAGACTCAGGAGAACTAATTGCCATAAGAGAGCTAAGAACAGTGGCAACTACGCCTGCTCAGTAGATTTAAAGAGACACCTGAAGCAGTTAACTTGAAATCAAATCAAAGTATCAGTACTAGTTACCTTGAAACCCAACCCCTCACTCCATTGCTTCAAAATAAATATTTAGAGACACTTCGGGAACATTGTTTACTATATCTTGCAAAGATTTGTTTTGAAATTATAAGCAACCATTACTGGTTCTTTTCCAACACAAGACTTTAAAAAGCACAGACTGGATAGCTCAGCTCTTGTAAGTCTTAAGTGAAAACAAGTAGCCTGTATCTTAGCATTCAGTCAGCTGGAACTTGAGAAAGTCCATTAGCAAACTGCCAGGCTCAGTGTTTTTTTTTAAATTGTTTATTAGAGAAAAAGCAAGGCAGATAAAGAAAAGTTAGTTTCAAGAAACTGCAGAGAAATCTGAACATAAGAGGTAAAGAATTATGCAAGCCTAACTACATAATTAGGTTCCAGTCATGACTGGAAGCGCAACTACAAAGTTGTAAGCAACTTCATCAGTATATTCCTAATGTATGGGGAGCACTTGCAAAGTTCTGAACTTTGCAATTCTCAAAGGAAAGCAATAATTTTTAAAAAACATTAGTGTAGTTAATGGCTTTGGAGACAATTTAAGGCTATTAAAGGAAATAAACTAGAACTTAAAAGAGTACCCCCAGTTTCTATCTCTTATGTAACTTCTTTCAAAATTAAGCTATTAAAAAATAATAATAATATCATAATGCTGAGTCTGGACAACAGAGTGGGTATGAAAGATGAAGGTTCTTTCCACCTCTACAGAAAAAAAGAATCCAAAACTCAAGAAGAGAAAGTTGATATCTCTCACAAAAAGCAGCGCTTATTCAACATGTTCCTCACTTCTTTACAAATCTGCTAGCAGCTAACTGGCTTAACCCGCTACTGTAGTTCTCCAGAAGCCTCAGAAAGAGTCATGATTTCAGCCATAAAACCTTAGTACAGAAATTTACTGTTCAATTTTCTGCTACAGCCTAGGAGACAATTGCCTTCCACCATCTGCTGAATTCCTTTTCTAGCCAGAAAACAAATGCTTTGAAGTTTACCAGTTCAAGTAGCAAAGACGCACTGCTTCACAACCTATAGTCGAAGATATATTTTCAAGATAAAGAATTTCATGATATAATTTCTCACACTAATGCATGTGATTCAGCCACCACAGATCAAAAGACGAAACACCCCAAGGAGATTATATCTATCTTCGTCAGAAAAGAACTCATATGAGTACTCCAGTTTGCAAGTCACTTATTTGATATTACAGATTTAAAGCGAAGAGTCTTTTAAAAAGAAAGTTCTTGACCATACACTTCTCTCATAATAAAAATGTACTAAAAGCTTGTACTCACAACGTTCCATTTTTTTCCCTTCTCGTGTGCCTGTGGTGTTTACACTAGTAACCTTGAAGAAGCTTAAGATTTCAGGTGTGCTCTTCCCTCGTTAAAGCATTTTCTTCTTCACAGTGCCCGTGATTTTGAGGACTTCTACCGGTAAATTATTAGGTTGCAGGTGTTAGCTGTGCTAAATATAAACACACCACACACTTCATTGAGGACCTAGAGAAAATAGAACCTCAAATATTTGCAAACTGAGGCAGGTATTCTTTCTTCATGGGCTCCCGAAAGTGAGCCAGCCTGTGGCTTTGCCAGTTTAAACTAGTTCCTGAAGAAAAGTCTCAAAGAGCTTAATGTAAAACTGAAGCTCCAATCTACAACGCAAATAACCACAGAAGATGCTCTCATAGCAAAATGGAATCCTTGCAAGGACATAGGTTGCTTCCCAAAACAACTAACAATCATTTCCACACCAAACCTCTGGATATAAAAAGCTGTGATGATAACCTTCATTTCTAGCTTGGCTACAAACCTCTGACTAGCTCAATAGGTCATAAAAATAATAGAGTAGAAGTTGAATAGATTCAAGTGGGTAGAGAATAATTTAATACATTGCAAAGATGAATATTATGTAAAGTAACTTTTGTCTGTAGGAATTTATGACAGAAGAGCCAATATAACATAAGCTGTCCAAAGTAAAGCATCATGTTCTTTTTCCCT